GAATTTTCTGAACAGTGTTGTGCTTGTTTATACAGTATGATGCTCTGACTCAATATTTCCTTTACGTTTCATGTATTTTTGTCACTGAAAATATTTATTTTGATGACACTGCTAATGAATACACTGCTGTCATATTTAGATATATATTTCAGGGGCCATCTGCAAAGAATCAGGAACAGATTTCTACATACTTTTTTAGACTGCCTGAATTTGTATGCTAGTCATGCTGCAAAATTCAACTGAGGGGTGATTTCTTTTGTCAAATTTTAGGCATGTTATTTCAGGTCTGCAAATATTTTTGTGGCTCAGAAATGCAGCAGAAGTGTTGGCTTGTGAAGGTTTTAACAGCTACAAAAGCCTGTTTCCATGTGGCTAAAGTGGAATAAAAGCACACTACTAACTGCACAAAAGTTCTTGAAAGAAAAATCAGAAACAGCTCATGGCCAGGATTGATGAATTTAGTGGCTGCCAATGTTTTCATTCCATGAAAACCCACTGCCATAGTATGTGAAAGCTGAGTGGACTCATTTGATGAATATGCTTGAACTAAACATTCTTTCGGCAGGATTCTCTTCTGAATCCCTGCATTTTGCTGAGAGGGTCAGGAGGAATCATAGATTCCACAAAAATTCGTTTATTTTAGTAGTTGCTTAATATGAGTTTCTCTATAGCTGTAGAGGGAATAATAGACAAGACATTGCAAGAGATTTGGTGTACATTTTAATTTCTCCATCTGTAAATGGAAACATTTTAAGTAATGGCAGAAATAATGGTTGGCTTATGTATTTTGATGGTCAGATGTGAGCAAAGCAGGATGTATTTCTTAATAAAATAATTCTGTGTTACACCAATGCATTCATCATTTTTTAAGAGCTAATGGAACATTAAAACATGAGAAGAACACCTCTTCTGTGAAGAAAGATTAAGGAAGTTGACACTGTTCAGCCTGGAGAAGAGAAGGTTGCCTGGAGATCTCATAGCATCATTCCAGTATCCCAGGGTAGCCTACAAGGAAGCCAGAGAGGGAATCTTCACATGGAACTGTAGAAATAGGACAAGAGGCAATGGCTTCAAACTGAGAGTAGGTTTGAATTAGATATTACAAGGAAATTCTTTACTGAAAGTTGTGTCACTGTAACTGTGGGACAGCACAGGGAATAATGCCCCAGCATCTCGTACTCCTTAAACTGACATTTCCCTTGGAACAACAGTCTGTGGCATGGTATCTTAACGTCTGCAAAGCTCTGAAATTTAACAAGGCCAGGTACCAGATTCCACATCTGGGATGGGGCAGCTCTGGTTGTCTGTATAGACTGGGGAATGAGAAGCTGAAGAGCATCTCCATGGAAAGGGACCTGGTTGATTTCAGGCTGACCCTGAGCCAGCAGTGCCCTGGCAGCAGGAGGGCCACGGTGTCCTGGGGTGCATCAGGCCCAGCATCACAGCCGGGCAAGGGAGGGGATTGTCCTGCCCTGCTATGAGCTGAGCACCTCAAGTACTGGGGACAGGTCTGGGTGCCACAACACAAAAAAGACCTTGAGCTGTTAGAGAGTGTCCAAAGGAGGGCATGAGGATAGTGAAGGGCCTTGAGGTGAAGCCATATGAGGGGTGGCTGAGGTCACTTGGTCTGTTCAGCCTGGAGGACACTGAGGGGAGACCTCACTGCAGTTACAGCTTCCTTGTGAGGGGAAGAGGAGGGGCAGCACTGATCTTCTCTCCGTGGTGACAGTGACAGGACCTGAGGGGATGGCCTGAAGTTGTGTCATGGGAGATTTAGGCTGGATATTAGGAGAAGGTTCTTCACTCAGAGGGGAGGTTGGGCACTGGAATGGAGTCCCCAGGGAAGTGGTCACAGCACCAATGCTGACAGAGCTTGAGAAGCATTTATACAATGTTCTCAGGGACATAGTGTGACTCTTGGGGATGTCCTGTGCAGGGCCAGGAGCAGGACTTGATGATCCTGATGGGTCCCGTTCAACTCAGCATATTCCATGATTCTCTAATTCTAATACACATTGCATCATGGAACTGTACATTCATCTGTTTATCCCAGTGACAGTTTTTAGCAGAGGAATTGTTACTCCATTTCCTGCATGCACCATTTCTGTAACATATCAAGTTGTTGAATTATAGTTCCAGAAGTAATTTCTTGCTAGGTTGACCTGAGTGATAAAAGCCAAAAAGTCGCTTTTGTCACTACTCAGAGGTCATTGAGGCCTTTGGAAAATGACACTCCTGGACATGTATTAACCAGATTAAGTCTTTGTAAAATTCCCACAGCAGTCTGAACAGGTCTCTTGAAGAAGCTGACTGAGCTTTCTCATCAAATAAAAATGGATACTATACAGCCTAGAGTCACTCCTGGCCACAGCAGTGGAACACAGTACTTAGAGAATTCACAGTGTGTAGCTGGAAAACGTGTGCTGTTGGTAGATTTGATGAAGAGCTCGTTCAGGCTTTGCAACACTGTGCCTGAAGGGCTTTTCTGTAAGGCGGAAGAATGAACTGCACAACTTTGCAGGCTCTGTTTGTAGTGATGCTTCTTGCTCTTTAACAATCAAAACAAAGTTGTGTTTTTAGCAGGGATATTACAGGAATTAGCATATAAAAAATGCAAGAGAAAGACAAGAAACTGTTCAAGCTGTTTTTCTTCTCATATAATTTTCTCAAATGAGTTGACTTTTCTCTAGGGGAAGGCAAATTATTGCATATGAATGTGAATAAGAATTGACAAACTCTTCTGTGCCTGTCACAGTTGTTTGAGAAATGCCCAGCTTGCTCTTCCCATCTTCTTTTATACCAAGAGGAAAAATAGTTGAGAGAGGGATCTGAAACCCACAGGTTTCAAATGTCTCCTTTTGACCAATAAGTCTGATGTAAGTCCATCCAGGATTACCTGTTATGGTTTCGTAGGTCTTTGTGGTGGCACATTTGCACTTTGGGAAAGCCTCTAACCTTGAGTGCACCACCTGGCAGAATAACATACACGGAGCGTTGTAGTAAATTTTATCAATCTGCCTTTCTAATCTCCTAAAAAGAGATTTGACCTCATTCTGACTTAATTGATGTTTACAGACCCTCTACATTTAGTATAATTTGCAGCTTTCACAAATGTAATATTTATTCACTCTAAAATGGAATACAAGAAAGTCTTTAAATAGAGACGAGACTGACAGAGTTCCTTTTCCATGAATATCTGGGTACCTTTGAAAATTTACAGCACTGTCTTCTAACACTTCTAACTCTTCCATTCAGATTCTGTAAAATACTGTTTTTTATCCAAACAAAATTGAGTGAGTTTTGAGGTAAGTTTCCTTAAAAATGCTGAAACCTGAAAACACGAAAATGCTTTATCAACATGCAAATACAGTCCATCTAGTCCCATGTTCCCTTTATTTTCCAATCTTAGAAGTCAAATAACAGAAAAAATGGTTCCATTTGGTCATATTTTATCTTTAAATCCTTGGTCTGGTGCTGCAGCCAAGCAGATATGGGAATGAGCCTCTGTGCTAGCTCAAGCAGTTTCATTCTGAAGGCTGAGTAAAACCAGTGCTCCTCCTCTGAAGAACTGCTAACAGAAGGAGATAAAAAGTTCTAAAAATGCCCTAGTTCAGTTCAGCAAGTGTCTTGCCTGCAGAAATCTCTATACTTTGAACTGACACTGCACTTCAACCATTAGTTCTTGAAGTTTTTGAACTGTCTTCATATTTTTGTCCTCCATTTTTTCCCACTGTTGGTCAGCTTTGTATGTATGAGATGGTGATTAGAAAGACAGCTTATCAGGGAAAAGCAGTATGGCACTTGTTAGCTTTTCTATGCAGGAGACTTGAGAAAGAAGTGAAACTGAGCTCAAGCATGATAGATCAAGGTTTCAAAATTCTTGAAAATTATATTCTGGAAAATGTTAAAAAACATAGTTGCTTAAACATGAAGTACTTTTTATTTGTTTTATGCACTTTTAATGTTAGGCTGATGTCTTTAATATCCTTCTCACAGATGGGACTAAAAACTTACTTTGGAAATACAAACTCAAAACAAGGATTTCCCTGTGCCACATGGCTGCAGTAGCAGAGGCTTAATCAACATAAGATTCTGTGATATTTGTGATAAAATCACACATTTTTCTTCAAGCTTGGCAGTTAGTTCCTTTAGTGCCCAGATTTGTATGTATTGACAATGTCAATAGGCTGTTACTTAAAATTTTCCAGGCAGATAAAATCAGTAAAGATTCGTGAGAGAGGTATTTAGCCAGTGGTTTGCCCATCTGACTCTTGCCATTATTTGGAGGACTATGTCTATTTTTTTTTTTTCAAAGTTTTTGTGGTTTCTGCTTCTGAAAGTGCACTTTACAGAGTGGAGAGCATTTCTGTTTCCTCAGTTTGGACTTCAAGCCACCTCTACTTTAAATTCTGTCACCTTACACTAGAGTTTACTTTTCTTTTGTTGCAGTTATGCTTTACCCTGCAAGCTTAAACCAACCTGTGATAGTTATGGCCCTCTCCTGTTTGTTTTTCTTTCTTTGCTAGCTTTTCTTCTTAAGCTTCTATGTCTCTGAACTGTTCAACCATGGCTTTTCACTGGCTTCCCCTTCTCCTTATATTTTTGGTTTTTTTGCATTCTTATTTTTCAGAAAAGTTGATGTCTGATATGTGTTAATTGTATAGCCTCCCCTTGTCTGCCTTCTATACATTTTCCCCCACCAGCATCTACATAAGGTTATTCTGCTTTACTTAAAGACACTGCTCATTTGGCCAACTCTATGTCTCTCTGGACTCCTAGAAATCATTCCTGTAATCTCTGAAATCATTCCTGTAACACAGAGGAGGTGGGGCTCTGTGCTGTAACCTTTTTAGGGGACTTGGCAGCCCTGGTGTCATCCTGAAGCAGAACGATGCAGAAGCAGATGCAAGCAGAACTGATGGGGGCAGGGATGGGGAGGCATTAGCTATTTTACTTTTTCACTTATTTGTTGTGCATTTACTTTGATCTGTCTGTCACAGCTGTTGGAGGTTGAGCAAGACTACCAGAGGTTATGTGACAACAGCCAAAGGAGAGGAGCAACATCTGGAGGTGATCACACCTGGAATGCCTGGTCCTGGGCTCCCCCTGCCAGAGTAGCATGGACACACTGGAACAAGTCCAGAGAAGCACCACAAAGATTATCAGAGGACTGGAGCACCTCTTCTTAGAACTGAGAGAGCTGAGGCTGTTCAGCCTGAAGAAGAGGAGGCTGGGGCTGACCTTATCAAGATATATGAGTACCTCATGGGGAGGTAAAGAAGATGTGCCTCGTGACAGGACATAATGTAATGTAATGGGCACAAACTGAAAACCAGGAGTACTCATTTAAACATAAGAAAACCCTTTTTTCCTGTGTGGGATTTTGAGAAATTGGACAGGTTTCTCAGAGTGGTTGTGGAATCTCCATCTCTGAAGGATATCCAATATGCAACTTCACACTATCTTCATCAACCTACTCTAGCTCATCAAGGGAGCTAGGCTAGCTCTTCTTCAGAGGTGTCTCTAGTCTTAGCCTTTCTATGATCCAGTAACTTTTCTAAACATCCTCACAGTGGGATTTATCATGCTTTCAATTTATCACTGTGAAATTTTGAAGGGAATTTTCTTGCTTGCAAGAAAAAGGGATTCCCAGATTGCCCTGTTATCCTGATCTGCTTTTCAGATATTCTGTAAGTGATTCCTAAATATTTTTCTAAGGTATCCCAAATCCCTTTACCCACAGTAAGACTTTTTTTTTAGAAAAAGGGTCCACAAAGCCTTTGCAGAAATGTGTGGGCCTCTTCTGCATTTTTTGAAATCGGCTAAAATGCCTGGTTGGTTGGTGATCTTGTTTTTTATTCAGTCTCAATATTGATAAGGTTCCATGTAACAATAACTTCACCAAGAGATACTCAATGAACTTAAAAAAAGTTTTTAATATAAAGGTTATATTATCAAATGGTGGTTTGAAAGAACTAAATAGGATTACGAAGATTATCCTTTTTTAACAATGCCTTAAATTTTTATCTCCTTATCTCTTTCTCATTGCTCTCTCTCTCAAGACATTATGGTTTATTGTGTCTCCACTAGGTACCTTGCATATGATTTACACACTGAATGAATCTGCTTTCAGAGCAAGGTAATGATATAATATCCCCATTTATATTCAGAGCAGTCAACACTTTCTATCTCTTTGAATAATAAAACCACCTGCATTTAATATACATGGAAAAATGGGAAGGCAAATAGCAGATATAGCACAATCACATAAGTGTAATCAGATAAAATATCACAATATTAGAGCAGATCAGCATCTGGTAATGACTTGAATTTTAAAAGACTGACAAACAGCATGGTCTAAAGCAATCAGGCATACCTCATTCAGAGCTACTTATCCCAGATTTGATTGCTCCTCTCATATGTTTCTGGCAGATTAAACATTCAGGCTTTCTTATTTTAACTCTTCCTGTGCTGTGCCTCTTTTGGTGGAAAACCACTTGTCTTTTACCTCTTTTTTTCCAGAGTGAGAAAGCAACATCAAATTAAAGGAGAGGAGGAATGTGCCCTGCTGCCCTGGCTGGTTGTAGTAAATAGAGCCAAGCCCTTCTGCAGTGATCATGCAGTCACACATCCATCTATGTCCTCTGCAGCTGCTGCCAGGGCTTTGGGATCCATGATATGTAGTGGAGAACTACTAGAAACTGAAAGGACACTTCTTTTGTGTTTGGCAATCTCTGGATGAGTGACTTGTGGAAGACTTTATTGGTGCATTCAACTGCACTCAGTGGCACCCTGATGCCCTTTAGGACATCCTGCAGATTCAGAAATACAAACAATACAATTCAAGCAACATCGAAGTAAAGGTGGTGCTCTATAGGACTGGGATATTGCCTGTCCTCTATTTCTATGCATCTGTCAATTGCAAGTCTTTGCTGTTAATGCAGGTGCTGGGGCAGGAGCCAAAAGTCATGTTAGGATGCATGTTCTCCTCTCTTTCTCCTCCCTCTCCCTATCCCATCACCTATCTCTATTCCTTACCATCTCCCTCTCTTTCACAGCTTGCTTTAATGCAGGCATCAGTGATGAGGAGCTGCTTGAATTTCTTATTTCTGATTTTGCATCCCAGGCAGTGCTACTTCCAGGAATCATATCACTTGCCTCACCTCTTGGGTATGGGGAGCTCATTTGCTTCTGATTAATGAGCTTGTGATTGGACTTTGCATAGAACAAATTGATTGACTGTGTCTCCAGAGTATATTGGGAGCCACATGCTTTCCCCTGAACAAAATGCTGTGCAAACCTTCTCCCCACCCCCTCTTTTCTTTTACATCACAGGACTGTGCTTACTGTGGCAGCAGAAGACCTTTTGCTATGGCTAAAACCATGCAACAGTAGAGGCATTCTTATGAGGAAGAAAGGGAATATTCCACAGCTATGTTTTTTCCCCTTTGACCACACCTGAGGTTATGTAATACCTCAGATATTTTGCATGTAACTGTGAGAGAGATTCTACAATCAGAGATCAGCGTTCTTTGTAAATGTAAAACCTGAAAACAAATGGTGCAATTCCCCATGTACATGGTTAATAGTAAGATGCACCAATTCTAGAATAAAAGATTTTGAAGAGGAGATGTGCACCTTGGAGAGCAACATCATCCTATTAATGACAAGGCTTTTTTTATATTAGCACAGTTTAAGTGGTCATTTTACTCATTGCTCTTCAATAACATTGAGGCTTCTTTTCATGAGATGCAGTCTGAACACCATTCTGTCTCCCATGAGCTGGCACATGTGAAATAAGAGCCCATGATCCTCACCAATAACTGCAGAACTAGAAAATGACTGTTTCTTGTCCTTTCCTGCTTTCTGGGTTAAGGGTGAAGAAAAAGAGATCTTAGACTCCCATTTACAGCTTAGACCTAACATAGCTCTTCCTGTAAAAGTCTTCCCCTATGATTCCCTCACCTTTTTAGATGCAGCATTTTGTTACCTGCTGCCTCCTGAAGAGTGAACAGACAGGGAGTGGGGATGAGGCTTTACTGTCTTCCTTGGCTGATGATGTACTCTTACACCATCAGATAGAGAGAAAGGGATAACAGAGCTGAACCAGTGATCAGGAAGTTCAAAGACCTGGAACTCATTAAACTCGATTTATCTTATACAAACCCAATTCAACTAGGGGAAAAAAAGATAAACACTCATGGAAGGTATGACCAAAGTGCCACCACAAAAAAATAGCAGAGCAAAGAAAAGAAGTTAAAATGTTGTACTGCTTCCTGTCATATGTTTAAACTTTGTGAAACACATATATAGACATATTTTTAACTTTTTTTTAAAAAAACATGGATTTCTTAAGTTTGGAGAAGGATGCTCAATGCAGTTCTCACAGTGAATTCGCTGTCAGGACAGTATATTCTTGTACTGCTTCCTTACTGCAGTGGATCAATCACCAAATACATTAGGCATCCATTGTGTAAAAGAAAAATAGATGAAGGAGGATTTGTCATAAATTCTTTCTTTGTATTGGAAGACATGTGGCACAGAGTTGAGATATAGTCTGTGTTTTCTTCTGCCTTCCATCCCTTAATGCTTCTGATTCAAGTTTCATTTTACACATATATTTATGATATTCCTTTGGTTTGCAGTGCTTGGTTACAAGGACTTTGTCTTTCACCTGTCAGTGCTGTTGACTGCATTACACCTGCCCTGGACTGCAGGGGAATCAGCTTTGGGGGGCCCAATATGAAGTTACTGCTGCGACTGGCCACAGCTTGTTCTTGGTACAAGAATATGTTACCATTTTTAAAAACTTACAAATACCAACCAGAACACTAAATGTCTTTAGCCATGGCCTACCAAAATAAAGAGTATGAAGCCCAGGCTGCAATGGAATAAGACACAAATCTTTTACTTTTACACTGGAAAAAGTTCTAACTAGTGAAACATACTGTATTCAGAACATTCACACTATTTTTTGGTTTAAAGGATGGAAAGGGAGTTGAATAGAGTCAAACTCTACCAACATTTTTTCTATTTCTAAGGCATATATGTCTAATTTCTCCCCTTTCACAAGATATTTTTTCCCTGTACTCAGCACTAGTTAGACTGCACCTTAAATACTCTGTGCAGTTCTGGGCCCCTCAATGGAGGATGGACATTGAGATGATGGAACACACCCAGAGGAGGACAACAAGGCTGGTGAAGAGCCTGGAACAAAAGCCCGATGAAGAACAGCTTTGGGATTTGGGGTTTTTTAGTCTGGAGAAGAGAAGGCTCAGGGGAGACCTTATCACTCTCTCCAGCTGCCTGAAAGGGGATTGGAGATTGTAGCCAGCTGAGGATGGGCCTCTTCTCTCAGGCAACTTGTGAAAAGACAAGAGGACACAGTCTTAACTGCACCAGTTTAAGCTAGACATTAGAAAAAAAAAATCTTTACAGAAAGAGTCATTAGGCATTGGAATGGGCTGCCCAGGGAAATGGTGGAATTACTGACTCTGGAGGTGATTAAGAAAAGAACAATGTAGCACTCAGTTCACAAGGTCATGTTTAACAGTAGGCTGGACTTGATGATCTCCAAGGTCTTTTCCAACCTAGTGAATTCTGTGGATCTGTGACTTTCTCTTTTGCTTTTCCTTTATAGGCTGAAAACATTAAGTATGTGTTTGGTTTGCCTCACAACTTGGGGCTAACTTTAGGCCTGGATTTAAGGTTGATTTAGGGGTCCAGCAGGACCACTCATGGACAAAAGTCCCAGTGCTGAAGGAATCTAGGCACAGGTTTCCAAAGACATGGAACATGGCAGACCTTCTTGCACCATCTGATACAAGCCTCATCCTTTACCTGGTGTTGGATGCTCACTGTCACGACACAAAAATCCTGTTTGAATTCTACATGGAGTATGAATGGTTCAGCTCTTGTCAGCAGGAGTCAATATGCAATTTACACTCATTTACAATTAAACTCCATAAGAAACTCTATCACACTTTCTTTTCCATGCTAAGGCATATAAATTAGCAATCAACAAAAAGATGCTGAAACTTTTGAGATATAAGTTACCAGCACTGTCTGGTTGGGCTTCGACATGCCCCTGAGTTCTCTGCTGTCCAGAAGCTGTAAATTCATCAGCTCTATCATGGCCTCAAATCAAACGGACTCCTTGGATGGCTGCTAATCTAAGATCACAGGTAGAATGGTCAATTTGGCTTTTTAGGAATTTTTTCCTTCCTGCATAGCACTGTTGTGAGAATGCATGGAATGCAGTATACATTATAAATAATATTTGATACATAATGATATAAATAATATTATTATTTGATAAGGATATCAAACATAATGTTGAAATTTAGGCTTATTTTAGCAGATGTGCAGAGAATCAAACATCTTATGTGCAGCTTGGGAGGATTTGAGTGTCCTCAATCATGCAGATCATGCAAAGGTTTCTTTGAATATCAGAGACTAGACACTAAAGTTACAGAGAATTTCTACGTCTGGGATATTGTTTTTCTTTAAACTTGAACAAACATAATTCCTCCCCTCTTGACATTTTGAACCCATGTCCTCCTCTTCCATCTATGTCTTGGTTGATTCTTCCTTTTTCCTTCTTTTTTCTTCTTCAGCTTGTGATCTTATGTGCATGAATACATACAAAATGAATGTGGTTTGGTGTGCTAAGGAGTGAATTTTTTCTGCACCCCTTGGATAAGTCATTTCTTTCTGTCTCAGAGAAGAGAGAGGTACAGAAACACGGCAAGCAATAGAGACAAAAAAGTTGTAACCCATAAGATGGTTATCACTTATTTTTAAGAGCATACCAGTGGTGAAAATTACTAGCTTACTCTTAGAGGCATGTGCTCTTCCTCCTTCTTCCCCCTCACAACTCTTTGCCTCTCTTGCTCACATTCACTGATTTCTTGCTCGAAAGGCTGCCATCTCACTTCATCTCTTGAAAGGGAAGGGGATTTTTGAAATTTTGTGTAGATAAGACCTCAGTTAACCCGTAAGATATTGCAGCCCATTCATGAAATACCAGAACGGGAAACTTTACTTTTAAATGTTAAAAGAGCTATTACTCCCTGCACATCCAAAAAATCCACATCTAGTGTCCTCTCAAAAGTTAAAATGGAATAGGACCCTCCATAGAATCACAGGTTTTCATGTAGAAAGGGGAAAATTATGTATTAAATCATCACTAGTATTTGTTATGCTTCCTTATGCACATTGATACACAGTGACACCATCCTTTCACAGTCTGAAGAGATTGTAGAGTCTTGTGTTAGCATTAGTAGTGTCACCCAGATGTGCTGGGGAGAAAAATATGCTCCCTTTCTTGCATCCCATTTTACAACTATCCCAGATACTTTGCCACAAAAGCCTGATTGAACTGTTGGCAGCTGCTCTACACCCAGGCTGAGAACTGCTGGTACTGAAATCTAGTTACCACTCTGCTGAGTTCAGAAACCTAACTTCCATTAGTATTTGAGGTTAAAAATCAGTCAGTAGTGTGTACCAGTTTTACATTAGCTTTTATCTCTGATTGGTGATCTCTCTACAGTAATCCTCATGAAAACTGGTTTTCAATTAATAGAAGATGTCTGGCATTTCAAAGGAATCCAGATATAATCTTTAAAATATTGAAGTAATCTCTCATGACTTGTATTTAGTAAAGTGATATTGGCAAGTAGTTAAGTAAGCTAAATAATGAGAAAGGCACAATTAACATATTTACAAATGCATCAGAGTTATGGCTTGGCATGTCCTTTTTCCTGCTTAAAGATAGCAATGACAGATACTGAGACCCTATTAATTTCTTAATAGGCTGATAGGCACAGCCAAGCATGGAGCAACGAAAATTGTAAATCAGCACTTGGTTTATAAAACTGCAAACCCTGGGGATGATGTAGTGTACAGGAACACATGGAAAGAGGAAACACATAGGTTAAAGTCAAAGCCGTCTATCCCAAATTTCTTTAATTTTCTGTTGTGAATTGAGCATAAGGAAATGTTCAAATTTAGAAGTTCCTGTGTGTTTTTGTATCCCTAATTCAAGATGTGTATTGTGGTGTCACAGTAGGAAAGTATGTGCAAGTAGGGGAAAAACCCCATTCACATAATTCATAGAAATTGTGAAGCTATTTATTTTGACTTCCATATTGCCTGTGTGTATCTGCCTTCTTCAAGCTGCTCCTCTCAACACTGAGCAAAAATGTTTAGAGGGGTGTAGACATTTTAGTTAATTTTGGAGACCTAGAGTAAGAAGTTGAAAAAAATTAAATTTAATATTTTATAAATTCTGAATGGAAAAAAAATTCTAAAAAGGGATATATATGTGTGTGTGTGTGTATATATATATATATATATATGCTCCTGAAATTTACATTATAAATAGAGATTAAACACATATGCAAATAATTAGCTTTAATGAACACGTTCAAAGAAGCATCTATTTTTAACCAGATGCAAGAAGCTTGTGTTTACTTCATCTGGAGATTTCAGGGAGAGTTTGAAGTTAAAGTCAATTTTAGCTTTCACCCAGAATGGTTTAAGCAAACATGAATGATGTGATGTATCTGTCAAATCATTCAGTTATTTAAGAAGGAGGCTTAAGTTTTCACTTTTTAGCACTACTGTTCTGGTTTTTATTGTAGGAATGGTGGACATATTTAATTCTTTTGAGAGCCAATTCAACTCTAAGGTTTGTTGTCAACACATTTTGGTTGCAGGGACACAATGGACACCTCTGTAATTTTCTTGTTTTTAATTTATTTCAGTTTTCAATACTACTGACTTAAAATCAGGTATGATAGAAGATTTATTCGAAAAGAAATCTTTTAATTTATCTTCTTTCTTCTGCATCTGTCAGATTCAGAAGGCACAAAACACTGTGCTTCATCCTTAGGGATATTGCCTCTGTTGAAACAACCTGTGTAACACCTTCCTTTCTGCTGTAAGGCCTTTTGTTGTTGTTGAGGCTTTTTTTTTTGTAGATTTTTGGGGTTTTTTTGTGTTTTGGTTGTTGTTGTTTGTAATTTTTTACAGCATAAATCACAAAGATCACCAGGACCACTATGCAAAATGTGACATGCAGACACTGAATAATCAATAACCTTACCATCACTGTGAATTAATCACTGGATTATGAGGTAATTCTGCTTATTTCTGGTGTAACTCTGTAGAAGTCTTTTCCCTTTCCCTTTTTTTCAGTGCTTCCTCTCATGCCTTGCCATGGGAATAGCATGTGGTGCTGAATGAATATCCTATGCATTCAACCACATATTGATTGATTTATTTATTTCCCCTTTGGCAATGTAACAGCCAATACGCTGGAGGCTGCATTCTTATTCCTCATATTGCCATGTGACTAGGAGTGACAATCTCTCCAAGGAGATTGTTGCTGGTCTAAACAAAGTGACATGGAAGAATATGTGCCTTAAGAATGAATTCCATAATAGACTTGTGATATAGTCATAGGAAGTAGCATGAAACCATTTTTGCTTCCCCTCCTTTTCTAACCCCTTTGAGAGATTTGGATTCATTGTGATTTCTCTCAAGAGCCATGCCCTTTAGTTCAGCAAGGTGCAGTCCCCTTGTTTTACACAATTTTTCTGATTTGAGCTTGTTTCTGATTAAGGTGAGGGTCAGCAGTCCAATATGCCAGTGCTTTATTTCAGCTGTGGTGAAATAGGACAGCACTGGTGCTGCCTGCCATAAAGCTTCTTGGGAGTTCAATCATGAAACACAGTCACTCTTATCCTGCTCTGTCCATTGTTTGTATCCTCTCTTACCAGGTGACAGAAACATTTCTTAAAAGTATAGGCCTTGGGAACTGTCTGAGAGGACAACTGTGAATGACTTTAGTAAATTATAGGTGGATTTATTAATTCTACTAAGGGTCATGCTACCAGTATTGAATTGAGGTGAAGTTGAACTTGTGCTTTTAGATGGGAGAGCACCATAAGGAAAGAGGAAAGAGGAAAGAGGAAAGAAGAAAGAGGAAAGAGGAAAGAGGAAAGAGGAAAGAGGAAAGAGGAAAGAGGAAAGAGGAAAGGGGAAAGGGGAGAGGGGAAAGGGAAGGAAAGGAAAGGTGCGGGAAGATGCGGGAAGGGAAGGTGCGGGAAGGAAAGGAAAGAGGAAAGGAAAGGAAAGAGGAAAGGAAAGGAAAGGAAAGGAAAGGAAAGGAAAGGAAAGGAAAGGAAAGGAAAGGAAAGGAAAGGAAAGGAAAGGAAAGGAAAGGAAAGGAAAGG